AAAAGAAGGAGAAAAGAGTAAAAAGAAAAGAAAAAAAGGACGCATGCCATCGTGCGATTCGAAACGATACAAACGTTCAGAGAGAGAGAGAGAGAGAGAGAGAGAGAGAGAGAAAAAGACAAAGAGAAGAAAAAGGAATTACCTTTCTCTGGCGAGACTTGGTCCCCATCTGTTAGGCGGCGGCAGGTCACACGGAAACACACACACACAAGTAAACCAGTTAGACGTATATATGCATCGAGCAGAAAAAGGGGTTTGCTGGAAATGCACTGTGAAAAAAGGTGAGAGCGAAAAAACAATGCGATCGCGATCAGGATCGATCGCGACTGTTGCGAGCTGGCCACGTTGCTCGAGTCTCGGTGGCTGCGTACTGACAAACCTGCAAAAATCTCTCACGATCGCCAACTTTTTTTTCCTTTCTTTTCCCTTCTCTCGTTTCGTTCTCTTTTTCTTTTTTGTTTCCTTTTCTCTCTCTCTACACACACATCGTCTCGCGCGAGTGACAAAGATGGAAGATCTTCGAAGAAAGGGAAAATCAAAGATGTAAGTAAAATCGAATATATATCGAGAGGGAACGAACGAGCAGGTAGGCGTGGGGCGGTGCACGATAACGTGAAATGATTAGGTGTGCCACGTGTACGCCATCAAGCCAAAGTGAGTATAATAATACGTAATAACGATCAGGGAAAGACTCGCGCAGGGGCTGACGATGGTTTCTACGTTTCACCCAAAAAAAAGGCATACTTTCTCCCCGAAAATAAACGAAACACCGTGGCCACGTAGGCCGCGCGACAGTTTTTTTCCAACAAAAACTCCACTTTGATCGTCAAAGAGAGCAACGCGAGACCAGGTCGGAAAAGAAAATTTCATCGCATCGAACGATTAGCCTGGATGATGAATCTGCTTCGCTTTGCGTTGCGCGCGGGTAAACTAAAATTCGAACGAGAACAGCGTATTTTCGTATCGACAAATCACGATACGCGAGATTAATTGCCGAGTGTTATTTGTCACTTGTAACTTGTACACCTGTACCGTAACCGGGCAAAGTGTTTTTAAATAATCGTTATTTTTTTTTTTTTTTTTTTT